ATGTAGAAAGGCTCGTTGGGGACAAGTAGGAAAAAATGGAACTCGATTCCGAGTCCGTATGAGCTCGTATGAGCCCGTGGCGCACGGGCGCGCAACTGGCTGCAGAAATCAAAGGGTCACAACCCTTGGTGACCATAAGGTATCTTTTGGCCACTAGATGCATCCGTTCTCGTTCGGGCACGTCCCAAAAGGTGTCTTTTGACACTTAAACCTCTTAGAGGTGTTTCCCTACATCTATAAATACCCACATACTTGAAATCATTAAAACATGAAAATTAGAGAGCTCTTGCATTACTTTTCAAAGATCATATAGCATATTGTGTTCTTTAATTTTTTTTCATTGAGTCTTGAGAGTTCCAAACAATAGTAGTGTTCACCGCAGGCTTGTATATTTGAAGTACCACTATATACCAGTACTCTAGAAGTCGCTAGGCGCTCGACCAGCGCCTAGCGCCTAGAGCGCCTAGTCGGGGCCTAGGCAGAGCCTAGGCGGGGCCTAGAAATTATAATAAATATATTATTTTTTATTTATTTTCACAATTTTACTAGTGAAATTACAACTTATAATTAATAAATCTATACACCTAAGTTCCAATAATATTATTAATATAATATTATAATGAAAATATGATAGCAATTAACAACCCTTATGACCACAAAATTGTACTAGCACATGCCATTGAGAAATCCTAAAAACAAAAGAGTGGAAAAATACATATGTGAGGTTGTTGCAAGAAAGAACACAAATGTACAATGAACATAAATTATACTACTATTATTTTTTTTTCATTTTTCAAATTCAAAGTTTTAAATTTCTACTAATTTATCTACATATTATGTTTTAAAGTTTAAACATTACACAACATAATAGAATTATAGCAACCAAATTAACATCAAATTTCAGTTTCACTAATCACAATTCACAGCAGGTAATTAACTAATTACATTAACATAGCTAATAATATAATAAAACACATTAATAACAAAACAAAATAAGGAATAAAAAGTTATGTGTACTGCCCACTGCCCAACGGCTTTTACAAAGTTAATCAAGTGGGATTATATAAACAATTAAACATAAACGAGTTCTTTACAGACTAAATGATTAATAAATAATAGTAATTACTAAAATGTTCTTTTCATATTTCAAAACTTACAGCTACAGAATACAGATTCACAAGAGTCCAAAATAAAATAATACCTGAGGCCCGGCGTAAAGCTTGTGCTCTGGTGGACGAGGGACGAAATTCGACAGAGATGTCCGGCGCAAGCGGATGGAACTGGAGGCCGATGAACGGGAGTAGGAAATCGACGAGGGTTTCTGACTTTCTGTTTGTAAATTGTTTCCATTCTATTGATCTATTTAACTCTGCCCCTTTTCTATTTTTTTATTAACATTTAAGCTAAACACCGTCATTTCGTTGCTTAGTATTAAAAAAAAAAACTGTCACGCCGCCGAGAACCCGCCTCAACCGCCTAGTCCCGCTGAAACCGCGTAGCCGCCGAGACCGTCGAGGCCGCCTAGCTCCGCCTAGACCCGCCTAGCCCGCCTGGCCGATTTTTATGGCCGATTTTCACAAATCGTAGGCGGCAAACCGCCGCCTAGCGCCTAGGCGGTCGCCTAGGCCGATTTTTAGAACACTGCTATATACAAGTCGAAAGTCGTTGTATCTTGCAGGCGTTTACCATCAACCGTGGCTATTTTACGGGGCAATTTCGTCTTAAGGAGAACTTAATTATTATGTGACTCGACTTTGATTTTGTTTCTATTTCTTCATTCTCCTTAAGCTGTCTTTTTTATATTCACAAACCACATATTATACTACAATTTTAAGACGAAAGTTTGTGAGTTCATAAGATGGCAACCGGAGGAAACCAAACGTCTTCTTCAAGTGCTCAACCAATGGTAGCTGCTCCCGTCCAAGGCGAGAGATGATCGAAGTTCAATGGCTCTGATTTCAAGAGGTGACAGCAAAGGATGTTTACTACCTCACAAATCTCTCCGTCTCTTGTTTTCTTTCGGAGGACCCTTTGATCGTCCCGAAAGTGAGACTAACGTCCAAAAATGTATGGTGTTGGATGCTTGGCATAATAGTGATTTCTTGTGTAGAAATCTAGTACTTAACGGACTAGACAACATACTTTATAATGTGTGTAGCCCGATTAAGACAACCAAGGAGTTATGGAATTCCTTAGAGGTGAAGTACAAGACGGAAGAAGTCGGGATTAAGAAATTTCTCGTCGGTAAATTCCTAAAGTACTTGATGGTTAACACCAAGTCGGGTGGTTAGCCTAGTTCAAGAGATTCAAATCATCCTTCATGATATGTTGGTTGAGGGACTGATTGTGAATGAAGCCTTTCAAGTGGCAACTAAGTTTGAAAAGTTGTCTCCTTTGTGGAAACGACTTCAAGAGTTATCTCATGTATAGATGCAAAGAGATGAAACTCGAGGATTTGATAGATGGTCTTCGAATAAAATAAAATAATTAAAAATCCGAAGTATTGGTAAAATGGAGTGAGCTAGAGGTTATGGCAAACTTGGCCTAGCCGAGCTCGTGTAAGAAGCGTAAAAACGCTTTTCATGGAAAACCAAAATGGGACGCCAAGAAGTCCAAGGGATGTTGTTACGATAGTGACGAATCCGGGTACCTTGTTGAAGGTAACTAACTTCTGAGTAGGAGTAAAGGATAGTGCGAAGTGTCGAGGACAAGATAATACTTGTCAGAGCTCAATCTTTCCGTCGTGGTTCCAGTACATACTTGATTAAAATTTTACGTTTATAGCGGATAAGAACAAGAGCCACTTGACCCATAGGCGCTTATAAATGTTGTCCTACAACCCTAATATGGAAGAAAATATTTGTGGAATTCCTCGACTTCAAGTGTTGAAGGAAATGACAAGGTAATGTGCTAAGAATGAATACTGGAGATCGTGGATGTTCTTCATGCTCAAGACATCCATAAGAATCTAGATTTCGGACCATTAGTTGAGTAAGGCCGGATTTAGCTTAGTTTATGATCATTGACAAATATGTTATGTCGAAATATGATGTATTTTTAGCATAAGTAGACCTTAATCAAGGTCATCTTACAATTATTGTAAAATTGTAATCTATTGGTTTATAAAAAGATAAATAAGTTAGTCTTATTTATTGAGTGTTCTAATTTATGGCAAAATAAATTAGTACTTATGAATTTTAACACTAGAAGTTGGTGAATCTAAGTTGATTCATACAGCAAATATGAAAATCGTGTTAAAATGAAAAGTGGCAAAAGCATCGTATAAAAAGGTTGCTTAATTGACTAGTCCTCTTGAGATAAATCACGCCGGTAAATGTGATTTAAGAGTTTGTGCAAACTCGAGCAGCAAATATATTATAAGAATGCACAAAGTATTGTCGTAAAGCTTTTGTAGCTTTGAGTCATAATGATGATGTTGATATTCAATGACATAGTCAAAAGAAATAATCACTCTTGAGTAGGTGACAATTTCTTATTAATCTAAATGCTTAAGTGAGAAGCAATTATTTCGACAAAATTGCACGCACCACACGAAGGTAGATACGAATCTCCGTTTGAGTTATAAAAAGAGCAAAAACATTCGTACCTATACATTAAAATGTGGGGGTGTTTGGGCATGGAAAGCACCACACGAAGGTAGATACGAAACTCCGTCTGAGTTATAAAAAGAGCAAAATCATTTGTACTTATACCTTGAAATGTGGGGGTGTTTGAGCCAAGGTAGAAATACCTAATTAATGACATGAAAAGTTTGTTGAAACAATTTGTCGAATGGTTCAAATTCATTGAATGACAATATGGGTCTATGAAGGTTCTTCCGACTCTTTGTGATCGTAAGTCTTATGTAGACAATATGATGATCTTGGAATTTAATCATGATGTGTTCATGAATACCAAGACGATAAACTTTGACATTTAAAGTTTGTGAAATTCCGATGTAATTTTGGAGAATAAGTTTCTAATAGATCGGAAATAATTGTTTGGCACAATCTCATCATGTCAAATGTATGTTGAAGAGGATCGATGTGTTCGATAATATTTCCAGCTAAAGTGAATGTATAATTGACTCTACACTTAGCTAATAATTCGAGAATAATTAGTTTCTCGGAAAAAGTATGTTGAATAATTGGAGGCTTGAGGTACTTGTCGGATAGTACTCACCCCAATGTTGCATTTTCGCGAGCAAATTAAGATATTCACAAGTAACTCGAGCGATGAATTTTGATCACGCTAAATAGAGTGTTAGACATGAAAAACTCTAAGACAAAAAATGACTACGTGTTCACTTTAAGTGGGGAGAGTTGTGTCGTAAAAATTATCTAAGTATAAAGCTAGATCCACAATGAGGTCCGAGTTCATAAATTTGGACTAAAGGCGTGGAAGAAGCTAATAACTTAGAAATTTTCTAAAAAATATTCCTAGGTGGAATAAATTGTGCTCATCGAGATGATTATTTATCAATCAACAATTTGAAGAGCACAAAGTAGTTTGTACAATAGTAAATCTAGACTTAAACGTCAGAGACTTAATTTCATTAAGAAAATTATCTCGTGTGAGGGTTAGAAATTTCAAATGCATTGGGTTTTTTTTTTCTTTCTTCTTCATACGAGCTCGTGAATGCAAAGATTCACAAAACAGGTAAACAAAACAAAAGATTCAAATTGGGGAAAGATAAGAAATTGATCATCTTGTGGTTCTATCCTATCTTTGGTCATACACAACAAACATAAGACCCAAGATAAACCAAAATCCTTACATATTGATCATTCACAACAAATATAGAAGTATTATAGTCTAAATAGTTAGTCTTAACTTTTTAATTAAATTAATCCAATCGGCAAAAATTGAGCCCTATGAAGAAAATTACTCAATTGGGCAACAAAACCACACACGTGCCCCGCAAGATACGTGGCAAACCAGTTTGGCCCTTTCCCTTGACAAAAGAAAGTTCAGATCACACAAAAATGAATCTGGACGTCCCGCGGTCCAGCTTCATCCACTTCCTCTTATAATGAATGTCCCTATCCTATCTTAAGGGAAAAACTGGAGTTTATAAATGAATTAATAATCTCATCTGCATCTCCATTTTGTTTACTACAAATTAAAAGCTGTTTCTTTTTTCCCAAGAAGCTGAAAACCTGAAAGTACGCACTTTTAGAGTTGAAAGAAAAAAATGGAAAGTGGGTTTAAGAAATACAGTGGTCAGAAGAAAGAAAATGATTTGTTTCATGTAATTCACAAGGTTCCTTGTGGCGACGGGCCTTATGTCAGAGCTAAACATGCTCAGGTAATAAGAATATATATCTTTTCTTACGGAATTTTATTTTGTTGTCATGCTTTTGGTTTCAGAACAATGGGCTTGGGGTTTAGTTTCAATTTTGCTAATTCGTTTCCTTTTGATAGACCTAGTTGTTTTGAGAAATATCTAATCATATAGGTGCTTGACTCATAGCTTAATTAATCACGGAGTATTAGTTTTATTGTAAGTCTTGTTATGCAATTCAGATACCATAAATTCTTGTGTGAGGTGATGTAATTGTTAGCGGTCGGCTCGTCTTAACTTTATTAAAAAAAATGCTAAGATTATAATAATAATGTTAACTACTCCTTTGTCTTAAAATAATGTTTTGTTGTTTTAGCACAAAAAGTTGTCCAAATGTAAACTCTTCTTAAGAATTTCCATGAGCTTTGGTAATGGGAAGGGGTACTAACTACTAGTATGATAGATAAACGTGTTATTTAGATTTCAATGAAGACAAGGGGTATTTTGGGGAAGATGGGGTATTTTGTCTGTAATTCATACTCACTGTCCTTTTCTAAGTGCCCTTGACATCCACTAGTACACAAATAGATGATAAAAAGAGAGTGTTATTCAGGAAATATAATTGATAATGTAGTTTAAGTTCCTCAAAATTGGCATGTACCTTTCAAAATAGCACCATGTTAAGACACCCAAAACTGGATCTTCATTCTGGTGACAAAGCATTTATTTGATTGTGGATTTTACAAAAAAAGAAAAAAGAAAAAAAAAATCACCATTTTTAAAGTTAAACAAATGGCTAAGAAACATTATTTTCAGATAAATGTCTAATTTTTCGAGTTTGGTTTCTTTTGTCGCCTGAAGCTAGTCGAGAAGGATCCGGAAGCAGCAATCGTATGGTTTTGGAAAGCTATAAATGTCGGGGATAGAGTGGAAAGCGCCCTTAAGGACATGGCTGTTGTCATGAAGCAACTCAACCGATCTGAAGAGGCAATAGAGGCAATCAAGTCTTTCCGAGGTTTTTGTCCTAAGACAGCCCAAGAATCACTCGACAACGTGCTCATCGATTTGTACAAGGTATTTCGTAGTTTCTCTTTTTTCCTTTTCGATTCAATTTCTTGCCACAAGACTTAAATTTTTTTCAATAATGCTGTGGACTCGTACGTTCTTTTCTAGAAATGCGGAAAAGTTGACGAACAAATAGCGCTGCTAAAGCATAAGCTCAAGTTGATATATCTAGGGGAGGCTTTCAATGGGAGGCCCACGAAAACCGCACGTTCTCATGGGAAGAAGTTTCAGGTCTCTGTCAAACAAGAAACTTCTAGAATATTGGTAAGAAAATGTATTTATGGAAGCAAAGATTCATCTAGCCTTGTAACTGGGTCAAAATTGGCAAAAACTGATATGATTAACTCACTTTCAAACAGGGGAACTTGGCTTGGGCTTATATGCTGAAGTCCAATTTTCTAGCAGCAGAGGCCGTGTACCGTAAGGCCCAGATGATTGACCCGGATGCCAACAAGGCCCTAAACCTGTGCCATTGCCTTGTCAAGCAGGCCCGTTATGATGAGGCCCGTTTGGTTCTTCAGGATGTGCTGCAGCACAAGCTTCCGGGCTCAGATGACTTGAAAAGTAGAAACCGGGCCGATGAGTTGTTGTTGGAATTGGATTTGCAGCCTGGAAACAGCCCGTTTTTGCCGAGTTATATGGGCGTTGTGAGTTTCGAAGATGATTTTGCCGAGGCACTCGAACGTGTGATCAGGGAATGGGCCCCTGCCAGGTCAAGAAGGCTGCCCATTTTTGAAGAGATTTCTCAGTTTAGAGATCAGTTGGCTTGTTGATGTATATGTGGTGATTTAACTTTTTCTCATGTATATGGTGCTTGGACCTTGTCTTACAAAAGGGGTGATATAGTGTGAATCAATGATCCATTTGGGGTTCCCTCTTTTGTTTTTTCTTTCTTTGTTTGTTTTGTGGAGAAGTTGGTGGCCAATATCAGAATATGTTAAAACTAAAAAGAAATTGGATTAGAAGAGGTAAAAATTGTCGTCTTTTGTAGTGTAGTTTAAATAATGAATTTTATCAATTTAGGTCACTGTCATGTAAGACAGGTTTAATTGTCAATTCGGAGCTCACTGATAGATTATATAATTCCCAAAAAAAATTAGAATTGTCAATTTAAGACTATAGTTTGAATATGTTTAGGGCTCGAAAGATAGGTGTTCATAGTATCACAGAAGACAGAGATGTTCATATTATCACATACCTTTCTGGTTCTCATATCATCATTGGGCTTTTGCTTGATCTGTGAACAAATCAAAAAAGGCTCCATTGACTTTCCGATTACGTTTGATAATTTGCCGAAACATAATCTGAGACCCAGTTAAACAATAATTCTGGGCAGCAAAGGTCTCAGACATGTTCCTGTCAAATTTTCGAACCTTTGCCAACACTGTTCACATCCCATCAAATAAGAAAACCATTATAAATAACTGCATCAACTCATCCGCCAAACTAGTTTTCGATAAATAATTGGGAATCAAAAACATCATAAACTTCAATGCCTAATATGTTTTGGAGATCCAAGAAATACAAACTATACAAGCGCGTCTTACAAAAGTACAGTTTACAGTGAGGGCCAAAACGAAGAGTCAGCAAAATGAATTTGTAGGAACAAAAGCTACTCATATGTTGAGTGCAACTGATAAAACTATGATAAGAATCAAGGGAAATGAACCTCCAGTAGGACACACCCACATTTAGTGACACTTGAACCCACCGCAAACTGATAAAACTATGATAAGGATCAGAGCAATGATAATGCCCAAGACAATTAGCTTTATCTTCATATTCTGCAACCACATCTTTCTCCTCATCTTGGTTCCTTGAGTCCTGAAATCTTGAGCCTAGACAACATACAAAAATCTCATCAATACGTAAAAGGCATTTCATATGAAGTGTTTATTAACTTTATTTATTCATTAAAGTACAAGAATGCAATTTCAAAACAACCTAAAATAGTAGCTACTTAACAAAAGAAAAGTTTTGAGAAAAAAAAAACATAGACAAGTGAATGGCAGCAGTAGAAAAATAATGACACGGAATTCAAGTGAATGAAATATCCACAAGAAGGCATTATATTGAAAAGGGAAAAAAAATCAAGAGAAACTAGTTACTTTGAAATAAACAAAGGACTGCAACCATGTCAGGGAACAAGTATAGAGAGGAACATCAATTGAAACCATTGATTTAGAAAGTGCTAGGGCCATAGCATCCATATGGATTGACTATAATTCCCGAGGGGTTAAACATAACATCTCAGCTCTGGGATCGTTTTCTTTAAAGAACACCATATTACATCTTAATTTGACAGCTACATTTTGTTTTGAGTTATCATAATTCCTTCATGTCAATGAAAATTCCAGATGGTAGCGGACCAAATTAATATTTGAAATATGAAGCAACACTATAGCAAACAGGTAAAATTTGACTTCCCATTATCGCACCAGAGACTCACAAACTTTACAAGAAACAGGTTATAGCATAAGCAAAATTCAATGTACAGACCTGAGAACGAAGATTCTCGGTTTTATCGACCAAAAGCTCAATTTTCTCTCCACGGTCAAGAACCTGGAAGGAGCAATTATCAGTGCAGGACACACAATTTCTATAGTTCATCACTCTAAAGGCATAATGAAAATGTTTTACCTTTTCAATGTTTTCCATCATCACCCCTTTGACTTCTGAGACCTGAGCTTTCACTTTTGCAAGTTTGCTGACCTCCTCTGGATGATCCACACAGTATTGCATTTGCTCCTTTAATTTAGGCCTACGACGTGATAATTAAGTCAAACAGATTATTGTAAAAGGGAATTATGAATCAGCACGTAACTTGAGAAAAGTGAAGGGAAAAAAAGGTTAGAAAGTCAATGACAAGATTACCCAAATTCTCTATTCAGGCTATTGGCAACAGCTGTAGCCGCCTTACCACCACTATATTTCTTGGTAAAATCCTCTTTAATCCGCTCAAGAAATGCTATTGGAATATGCCTTCCAACAGATTCGACAGCCACAACACAATAAGCTGCCACTCATAAATGTATTCCATTATCCGCCAAAATAAAATTGATGGAGCAGAATGTTAAGTTAATAAACAATCTTGCACAAGCATGATAGGGTCCTTCGATCATATTACTCTAACAAGTAACAACCACATGTGAAACCAAATGTGACTATGGAAGGTACAATTTTGATCCCTGATTGGATAAGACGATCATATTACTAAGTAACAACCACGTGTGAAACCAAATGTGACTGTGGAAGGTACAATTTTGATTCCTGATTGGATAAGAAATATGAAATCTAGAAGAAATAGCAGTGCATACAGGACTACATAGCATGAGTGTATGACATAAATCAGACAGGATATTATAAAAAACTGGTAAAATCAGAGCAATGGAAACCATTACATCAAATTATACAATTAACTATCCCCCAAAATTTTAGATGTTTCATTAACATTCCAGAAACTGTTAATGAATGGGGCTTATCTTACGTTAATGTACACAAAATTATGCAATAAACTTGATAGACAGCAAATGACGTGAATTATAATTGAATAAAATGCACATAAACTTGATGGTCACATTAGTGACCATTTCAAATAAGCACAAAAATAAATTAGATCTAACAACGGCACACTATGGTAACACCTGCTGGAAGTACTACAAAGGCCTTTGAAGTATGAAAGAATATTTACATAATTTCAGCCAGGTTCTGTTTTTTTAAATAACCAGACAATTCACATATTTCCATATTTAGACTAACCCCACAACAAAAATCCACACTATATCAGATAGGTTTATTTGGCCCACTCACAAATTAAATAATGCTAAGAATATAGACTCTGCTCAGGCATTTGCAACTCAATTTTTTAGAGATTACTGAATTTCATCGGCATTCATCAAGTTCATCGACTTCAACATCTCTAAATTCGAAAAATGATCCAAATCCAGTAACAGTTTATTCTGAACCCAACCAGCAAAAAGGCAGTCGAGTTCATTTCAAATCTAATCTTTCAGCGCATAAAAAAAAATCCTAGAACCCCAGAAGAATATAGTCAAAGAAGCCAAACATTCTACGAAAACCTATATCCAACAGTCCGATCGAAAAATTGAATCAATACGAAAGATCAAAACAGATCAACGAAAAGGCGCCACTCACTAAATCCATCCTCGACAAGGTAGTTGAAGGTGTGGCCGTCACAGTTGTAGGTGAACTTGTTGTTGGTGGCGGGGAGTTTCTGGAGGCACTGTCCGGCGATTCCGGTGAAATTCCCGGTGAACTCGGTGTACTCTGCGAGGACCACCGTCCCCCGCGCCACGAAGCTGTAGATCAGTGATTGCTGCCCCATTTCTGTTTCCCCTTTCTCTCTCTCGATCAAACCCTAGGAGGAGCTTCTCTGTAGAGGACTTCTAGAGAGAGAGGGAGGGGGAGAGAATAAATAGAAGTGTCAATCTTAAATCTATTTTATACTTTAATTGCCATTTTAACTCATTCATTGGTGTACTTATTAAGCATTCGAAATGACAGTTTAGAGCATAAAATTGAATGTGTTACAAAAGGTACCCTTGTGTTAGTGTGTATAATCCCCTCTATATATAATTTCAGAATGCGGCAAACTCTCATGTTTCGAAATTTTATTTAGCAAAAAATCATACTTCGGTGTTAGGCTTGAATATAAATTAATATTTTTATCACACTAAATCCATGATTGATTTACTATTATAACTTTTGAATTGTAAATGTATTTTAAAAGTTGATAACTTTTGTATTTCTTATCGGTTTTACATATATAACATATCAAATTAATCATCTTTTGATTAGTTTCAATTTGACATATATATTGTATGTATAAAATAAATAAAATATATTTATCTTTATAATAATAATAAAATTACTTATTAATATTAATTAAAAAAATAAAATTATTTTTTAAATAATACATTTATGTTTAAAATAGTTATATGTTATAAATTAGAAAAATTATTATAATATAACACAGGTAAGTCGCATAAGTAACAAATGTCATTCTAAAATACATATACGACACTTGATGTTTTAGGCATCTAATTAAGTACAAAAATTAATATATTTTGCTTAATATTAAATAAACATATTCTACACTTATGCATATACATATCACCGTATTATTTCTATTTATTTAAGATATATATTTTTGTACTTATGTAATAGTAAATAATATCGATATTTTTATATGATATAAGTAAAAAAAATTCAACACGGATTGACATTTTCATTTAATGTACGGGTGTTTAATTATTATGATTAAAAAAATATAATTTAACAATTTAATTAAAATCCAAAGTAATGTTTTATATAAAATTAAATTATTTTAATTTTTTTAAAAAAAATAAAAAATTTAATATTTTTTACAAAATATTTCCAATTCAACACCCGTGTAATACACGGATATTGTACTAGTTAAAATTAAATAATAGAGATTATGCGATCAAAATCAAAGAAGTGATTTTATTATACGTTGCACACTTATATTTAAAATATACAATATACAATTTAGCTAATTATATTTTTGGACTAAAATGTTCAAGATCAGAGAAAGTATTGAAGGGATGCTTTGGTGCGAGTTGTTAAGAGCTTAATTGAATATAAGTTATTTTGTATTTATTTGAATTTATGGGGAAAAATGAGTTAATTTTGATAAAGAAAAATTGATTGAATTTGATTTGAATGATAATTTGAGCTTGCAATTGTATTTAGATAATATCTAAAATATAATGATTGAGATTGATGTAAATGTGATTAAAAGTGGTTGTAGTTAAAAATATATGAGTTGATTAATAATGAATTAAAATTGATATAATATGTGGGGATAATTATTAGTATTATCTATATATATATAATTACTAGCTCAAAACATTTAATAAAACCTATTTAATTTTACCTATGTGGCAATTTATTAATTTTTCCTCCAAAAACCGTTACATTTTGATGTATTTAATCTTTCATTTAATCATTAAATAAATAATACTCATCACTTCAAAATTACAAAAATCATTTTAAATTTTTTCTTAATGACAGTTGACCATATAATGTGTTGACCGTATAATGTGATTAGATGTTATTATTGTTGTTACATTTAATTTTTTTCTTAAAAATAAAAAATATATTTGAAATTCTTAAATAAATAATAAATAATTCACAAATAAAAGACGTACCAAAATATACATTACATCTAATCAGATAAACGCAATTTTAAAAAAAAAATATTCCAACTCTTTAATTGTAAATTTGGTCTGCAAAAAAGTGAAAGAAAAATAATTAATCATTATATGCATACAAACTCACAATAATTTATTTATATCTGTGCAAATGCACAGGTCGAATAATATATATATATAATTACTAGCTCAAAACATTTAATAAAACCTATTTAATTTTACCTATGTGGCAATTTAATAATTTTCCCTCCAAAAACCGTTACATTTTGATGTATTTAATCTTTCATTTAATTATTAAATAATTAATACTCATCACTTCAAAATTACAAAAATCATTTAAAATTTTTTCTTCATGACAGTTGACCATATAATGTGTTGACCGTATAATGTGATTAGATGTTATTATTGTTGTTACATTTAATTTTTTTCTTAAAAATAAAAAATATATTTGAAATTCCTAAATAAATAATAAATAATTCACAAATAAAAGACGTATCAAAATATACATTACATCTAATCAGATAAACGCAATTTTAAAAAAAAAATATTCCAACTCTTTTAATTGTAAATTTGGTCTGCAAAAAAGTGAAAGAAAAATAATTAATCATTATATGCATACAAACTCACACTAATTTATTTATACCTGTGCAAATGCACTGGTCGAATACTAGTTTAGTTAAATTGATGATAAGAGTTAAATTAAATTAAATTTAAATTAGATTTTGAGTTAAAAAATTATCTAGTCGATTATATTTTATATGGAATCATGCCCTAAACAACTCCTGTGTATGCCCCATCAACAACGAGAGAATTATTCTGAATAATGCTACTCATTTCTTGTGAAATAAAGATAATTAGTAATATTTTATGAAGTTTATTAATGCATTCATATTTAAGATATTTAAAGTAAAATAAAATCAAACATATTTTTTCTTCATAGTTTTAGAATTTAAAACTATATTAGCATCTTATATATAAAATAACATACATCACCAATAAATTCATTTATAAAAGTAGTTTTAATACACTAAAGTACTATTATTTATTGAAGTTATTAGCCAACCAGATGAGATGTAATATGAAGCCTTTGCTCCCACCATATTGACATTTTTAGCTTGAGTTAGGTCCGATTAGGTTACCGTGTAACAATCCAAATCTGCCTTTTGTTGCAAGCATTAACCGTTCAGGTACAATGGATGTCAAACAATATGATATAATATAGCTTTATACATCAGATCAATTTTAAGATTAACATGTCATAATCTTATATGCAGCAATTATATCAACTTTTATATGAAAATATTATATTAATGAGCATTATCCATGCGTAAGTAGTGTTGTAATTGAACTGAATGCTCGATCCGTGCTTGATTATATTTGAAGGTTATTTGTTTTCGTTCGTTTAATATTCGAACAAATAAAAAATAATTGAGCTTGTTCATTTATTTATTTGTCAAAGTTTAAGTTCATTATTTTATATGCTAGATTTTAGTTCGCTCAAGCTTGAAAATTAATTTTTTAAATAAATATATATTTTGTTTCTTTATTTATAATTTTATACAAAAGTATACATATAGATATAAAAATACATTAAATTAATGCTCAAATAAGGTTTTGTTCCTGAACATTCGATCCGTTAAGAACTCTATATACAAGACCATATATTTTATCACATTCCAGTTACATTGGCCTACTATGTCACACAGTGTAACTCCCCATTATTTTTTAATGAAAAAAAACAATTTATTTTTTCAAATATCAGAGTTAATTTTCGAAAAACCAAATTAAAACTTAATTAACGAGCGCTACTCAATTATCCACATAATAACGGTTTAAGTCAATCCCTTAAACATCGAGGTTCCCGAAACAAATATCTCATGTCAACAATATTTATTCCATCATGCGGTATATCCAAACCAGATCAGATTCTAAATATTATACAAGTTCCATAAATCCCAAGCATTATAAAAATCCCAGCATGATAAAAATTCTAGAAACAATTATTCCGTTTGATAATAATCTCGAATAAATTTCAACATAAGAATATCCTATTTCATAACAGCATACGAAGTATCCAAATACATAATTCAGTCTCCAATCTCATTAATTTAACATGTCTGACAGTTAAATCAATAATAATAAACAGACGGAAGCAATAACATAACAAAACAACAAATAAATTTGATCCCGCCTCGCTCGTCTTTCGCCACGGCCACCAGCTCAACCTGAAAAGATGGTTAATAGTAGGAGTGAGCAAACAACTAACTCACCGTGGGAATACCATGCAGTATAATCAATATAAAGACTTAAAATCATGGTCGCAGTATGTAAGCAGATCGGCTAGTCTACCCTCCCTAAACACAGTCATGCTCATGTGATCACACCTCTATCCTATCAACCCACACCAGGAAAGATAGGAACAAGCCGTCCACCCCAGGACTGTTGCCGTCCACCCCAGGACTGTTGCCGTCCACCCCAGGACTAGAGCCGCCCACACCAGGACTGCGCTCTCTAAAGGCTAGAGTTAGGCCTCATAGACTACCGGTTCACATGCATACACAGATCATCAAGCCAAGCATTTATAGAAATCAACATACATGGTAAGTTTATCAACACCCACCTGATACTGCAGAGGATGATAGTGAATGCACGTTCAAATTAGGGTTTAATTAATATTATTGGTTTTGATTGGCTTAATTAGGCCAGGAAATTAACATACAAACAATTAATAAAAACACATAAGGTAGGCAATTAAGGCAGACAAATTCACATAAAACAAAAAACTACATCAACAAATAAGGCACTAATAGCACAATCACAGCATGTTAGACATCTCAACATGGTTCATCAAACAAAACATAGCCAAAACTCAACAACAAAAGAGGCCAAAAGCACAACTCAACCTGCCTCCCTTCTTGTTCTTTTCCTCAAACTCAAAAGCATGGATTAAGGCCAACACATACGAAGTTAAACCTCTGAGTGTAACACAATTTCAGCATGGAAACAAAACGAGAAAGGCTCAGCAAAATTCACAACGCAATGAGACCAAAACCATACAATCATACATGCTTTCATTTCCAACCTCTATCAACACCTAAGCATGCCCTCAAAGCTGATTCTTGACTGAAAATAAACCTGATGGAACTTCACATTTTCAGCATGTAATCACCCCAAAACAGAGGTTAAACTCTTTACCAAAATAAGATCCATAACATGACTCAAAGTCCCTTAAATCATTTTATAATCTAAGCATGCTTTCTAAACTCCAAAACTGAAAATTAAACATCAAAATTCTGCCTTCATTCATCACATGATATCACCTTAAGAATACATGCCCAACAGATCAATAANAACAAGGCAAAGAACAAGGCCAAAAGCTCACCAATCATGCTCTGCTTTTGAATTAAATTTAATGCATGTAACTGAATGATCATCCTCTGAAATTAATCACCATAACCTCAGCATACAAGGCCTTTAACTAGGCTCAGCAAGTTCTAAGAGTACAAGGCACACTATGCAACAAGGCAAAATATACCAAATTCCAGCACCTCTTTTCTCAAATACCCAAGGCTGAGTTATAGTATTCAAAACCTGAATTTAAGCACATAAATACAATCCAATTTCAGCCAATAAGATGGACAAAATGGCTCAGCTCGGTTACCTTCGACAGAGGTTAAAAATGGAGGCAATGAAGGCTCGAGCGGAGGCTTGCTCAAGGCTCGGCTGCGACTGCTAATTTCAGCCAAGGATAAAGCTCTCAGAGACGGCTCGGCTTGCTGCTATTTGAACAAAAGCTCATCGTCCGCCGCTGCTTGGCCCGTCTCTCGGCTTAGCTGCTGTTCACTCTCAGCCCGCGCACAGAACTCATGTCGCCGCGAAGGCCGCTGTTCGACGGACTGGTCGGATGCCGAGGACGGTCGACGGAAAAGAAGACGAACCTGCTCCGAGAACAACTCGTCGGTCAGAGCTCCGGTCGCCGCTGACTGAAATTCGCCGGAAATCGGGTGTTCTTGGTACTCGTCCGCTCGTCTGGCCTCGGTCGGGTTCATCGTCCCGACTGGAGATCGGTGTCGGAGCTTTAGGATCGCCATTAGGTCCGTTGTTGCAGTCGCCGGCAACTGCAGCTCTCCGGCGCTGCTCGTTAACAGCCGTGAAAGACTGGCTCGCCGGAAATCTGTTGAGTTGCAGCAAGGCGTGCTCGTCGTCGGAGGTGGAGGCTCGCGAAGGTTGAAGCCCCGTCGGTGGTCGAGGGTCGCCGTCGGTCGGAAATCGAAGGTCGATTTTTGGGACCGCCTGCGAGAACTTCGAAGGGAGCTCAATTGGCGAGTCGGCTGAGCTGAGAGGTGTTTAAATAGTGGGAAAAATTAGGGTTCTGCTTTGGTGGTGAGGTGAGGGTGAAGGCCGGATTTCGAGCTGATGGTGGGGTTATGGCGACTTGGTCGGCGAGATGGAGATGAGGAGGCGAGAAATGGGGCTGTTCGTTCGGGAAGATGACCTGGTCTCAAACGTGTGGGGAAAAGGTCTCTTGACTTAGCTTAGACAATCAATGGGCCGAGTAAGTTTTGGCCAAAAAAAAATCTGTTTGGGCTTGTGGAAGGGAAACTTAGGCCAAGCTCAATTAATACACTATGGATTACTATAAATTCTAGGCAACCTTAGAGCACCCACAATGTTGGGTCTCTTTTTGTACATGTGGCATATAAATAGACTTGGGTCTTAAATGACATGAACAAACCCAAGTAAAAAAACTAAAAAACTTTGCAATGCAAAAATAAAAATACTAGGTCTAGCATACATGTCAACCAATAAAAATACTCTAATATGTTTTATTCATTAAAAGAAAAATTAAATTAAGAACAAATGATGAGTGTTTGGGTTTGTACTTGGGTCTAAAATAGACTCAAGTGTGGACTTGGTCTCTTTTTTTTATTGCCACATAAGCTAGACCATGTCCACTTTTAATTGCATTGAGAAACATTTTTTTATAGACTAAGTCTATTTCCCATTTCGCATGTGATTTTTTGGTAAAAGACCCAAATCATTGTGGGTGCTCTTAGGAAAGTAAATTGGGCACAACAACTTAGTCACATAAATACACATAGGCACATAAACTTGCATATAAGACACTTAGGACAAATAAATAAAAACAATAATGCAATAAGAGTAATTAAGAAGACCAGGACATCCTCTTAATCTAAATTTTTGGATTAATAAATTATTTAACAAATTAAATAGACGAGGACATCTATTTAATTCGAATTTTGAATTAATCAAGATTACACAAATCGAGCAGTTAATAACCGAGCAAATAATATATACAAAGATTATAAATCAAATAAAATTCCAATAAATAATAATATAATATTCAGAAAATTCTAATAAACGAACGGGACGCTACACACAGGCAATGTCTTATATTTATCAATCAAAATAAAATCAAATATACCACATCCCAAATTATAGCTTGAATGGTTCTGTGATCTCGGTAGACTTATCCTTGGAATCGAAAACTGCCACTGAAGACCCTCACGATTCTAATTGAGTTGCTGTGATTTTATGATGTTAAACTTGAAAGAACTGCACATTCTGCTCCTATTCCATAACATAAAATAGGAAATTTCAAAATCATGCTGCCAAATTCGGCAACAACGCATCTCAGTCTTACATGATGAGTTTCAACTCATCGGAATACATACCTTTTCCATTTCAACAAACATATTTTCCAGGTACTTAGAAAAAATTGTAAAATTCTGAAATCTCAAATTCACACAAAAACTGTTGTACATTCTGAAAGGTGTTTCTTTATCGGGTTTACTCGTTGTCCACCTCAATTCCAGGCGGCAGCTCAAATCTATTCTTGTGCCTTTCACCCGCCACATCATCATCATCATCATCACCATCGCCAACATCCATATCAGAATCCTTCCTGGCATAATCAACCTTAAAATCGTAATCATCATTGTTGCCATCATGTTCCATTGCAGCCGGCTGACTTTCCTTTTTAAGCCTCTTCTTGTCCGCTTTTCTCAGCTTAGTGTTGAGCATGCCTTCCTCGGCATACAACTTCTCGTTTTGCTTCTTGGTGCTATTGCTAGATTTCACATTATCTGGTTGGGCAATCTCTTCATTACTTTCCATACTCTGATCACCATCACCACCCATTTCTCCATCACTCTGCACATTTTATATTAAATTAAAAAGAAAAAAAAAACAAGGAAAAACGCTAATCATGAACAAAATTCAGAGTGAAATTAAATATAAGAAAAAATTATATAAATAAATCACAAACCTCAACCGTCAGGTCGAAATGAAACGGATTATTCGGAGGCACTTCAACAGGATTGAATTCGTTGGCAGATTTTAAACTGCCGATAAATGACGATTCGCCACCGTAAACTTCATCCACGTTGAATTCCTTCCCGAGCTCAGAGACAATCCTTGCCTCAGAAGGCTCCTCCGCATTTCTAGTTGGCGGCATTGTATAATATGGAATTTTACCTGCAAAACAAAGTGAAATCATTCTATTCGTACTCTATTTTGATGGAGGGAATTACTAGGGATACACAAAAAGACTAATTTACCCTCATTCCAGTCGTGCAAAACAATCCTTGCAGCAGCATCAACATCCACAATGCCACCTTTTTTGAGTTTGCCCCTGACTGTGGCAACATTCTGAAGGAATTCATCAACAGAATCAAAACCAGGGATTTTGTATAACGTCACCAATACTTTCTCCGGACAAAGCTTCAGAATTTCTTTAACTGCACATTTTTAAGGTACTAGGTAAATAACTAGCAAACAAATCCAATCTTTTTTTACTCTTGAGGTAAGCTGCAGCTAGCAAGAGAATTTTACTTACCGGGACTAACCGGGTCATCTAATTTTTCAATTCTCTTGCAATTACGAAGTGCAATGGAAGAATCATTCTCGGAAGATTTAAGCATCACGACCCCAGGGCAGTCTAGTAATTTAACATTTTTGTCCAGCTGGACTTCTTGCATGGATCTCGTGAGTCCAGGAGTGGCGCCAACATTGACAACGTGTGATCTTTTCAAGCTATTAATTAGACTACTTTTACCGACATTTGGCAGGACAATAACACCCACAGTGATAGATGTTTTTATCTGAAAAAGTAAACACATAAATAAATAACTTGCAACTGATGGTACCAGTGCCCAACCAGCAAAGTATGGCAATTATTGAATTTGTCAAACCAAACCTCATGGCTTCTTGAATAGTTTTTCAACAGCTTTATCAAATTCTCAGCACCTAGACAGTCGCTCGTTTGCATATGATTGTTTGCCTTGCCAGTTTTCCCACCCTTTGGACCAGATTTCCATCCTAAGTTCGATTTCTGTTCTTGGGTACTGCACTTAAATGCAACTGCTGGTAACTCCTCTCTGAGGTACTTGAGCCACTTCTCAGCAGCTTCACGAGGGACGAGATCTGTATACATACAGGCACAGGGGTTTTAAACATTTAAAAATCTGTACATGCACTAAAATCAGTAAAATAAAGAACATTTACATTTCCGTGGGGAGAAAACCAAATAATTCTAAAACTCATTACTTCTCCTGAAAATCAATAATCAGCACATATGAATATTAAAGATCCACATTGCTTTTCTAAAAGGTGATTTCGTCTGGGGTAGCACAATATGAACTTCTCTTCAGATAAACAAGATAGGAGAAAATTTACCAATTTTATTGAGGAGCAAAACGAGACGCTTCTGTGCCCCTGACCTCATCACCATCTTTTCCATGTCAACACAACGAGTGCCCAAGGGATCTCGAGCATCAAGAACTTCTAAAATTACATCAGAATTTTCAATCACCTTGACTAACTCCTTGTAGAAAGTTCTATCCGAGTTGTCTGCAATAAATTCAGACATGTTCAAATTCTAAAGAAACAAATATTCATCTGCCCTTCAACTGAACTAAAAATTAAATAAATGAAAACAACCATAGCACCAAGAGATTTGATACCCATCATTCATGTACCTCGATTTTTAATAATTCTGGCAGAACCATCAGTGACCTTATCATCCCCAGCAGAGCTTTCTTCTCTCATATCTTCATCCTCCAACAACCCCAATTTTCTCTTTTTAGCCTTACAAGAGTAAAAAAATTACAATTTTAAAGAAAAGTTAGAAAATTAATAAAGCACTCAACAATAGAGCAACATGAAAAAACACAAATCTTCATAACCGCAGAATAATTTTGAGTGTGTTAATTTGAAACACCCCTCCAAAAAACTATTTTTTAGGCTATTATGGGACTCTTCAAATAGTGAAATGCTCAGCGACATAGTGCAATAGCTAACACATTCCACCCAAAAAGACACAGGTCATGAAATCTCAATCACTCCCCATTCCTTCTAATTGCTTAAAAAACACCTAAAATTACTATATCCAACACAAGCACTACTAGCATATCAAAAACACTGTCTACAAAACCAAAACAATCAAATGAAATTGAAACAAGGGAAAGCAAAATTAAGTCTTTGTACCCTCTCTTTACGGGCTGCTTTCTTCTCATCGAGCTCCTGGATAGCGCGCTGCCTTCGGGCCTCGAGGGCTTTGAGCTCTTGCTCCTTGAAGGGCCAGTCATTGGGTATGCCTGGATCCTTCTCGACCTTCTGCTTCTTGTTGAGGCCCAATTTCTTGGCTTCCTTGGCCTTCTTCTTGTGGTGCTCCTTCACTTTCCTGATTATCTTGTATTTTTTCTTCAGTGAAACCCTCTTGCTCTTGCTCTCTGTAAATAAACGCGTACAAAGTTATAAAGATTTGATTTTGCCTTTAAAGAAAACAGAGCACATCGACGCGGCGATGAAGGAATGAAATAATTAATGGGTTATGCGTATGAAGGCTGTGAAAATCGTAATTCGCAACAAGGCCACCGTACTTTTGCTCTTCTTCACCATATTTTGTTCGTTCGTCCGGAAAGAGGAATGAGGGATTTGGTAGGGGATTGTTAGGTTTTTGCTTGGTTCGTCCGGGGAGCGGTCTGAGGGCTTTTGGCAGGGGATTGTAGGGTTTTGCTTGATCTATAATAATATAAAAAAGGTTTGACATTTATCTGAAAAAGTAATTAATTTTTTATTTAAATAATTTAATTTTACTTTTTTTAGTAAATAATTTGAAAATATCCGCCATTTTTTAAAGGGCAATGCTATATGTACACCCCTTTTTACTAAATGTACACCCCTCTTCTTAATTAATTGATAAAATATTGTATAATTATTTAAATTACTAAATGTACACCCCCCAATTACTAAATATACACTCCTCTTGTCACATCACCTTTTTTTTTTAGTGACATGACTACTCATTTCTAATTATACACCCCCCTATTGTCAAATCAACTTTTTTATTTTTTTAGTGACATGACTCACACTTCCAATTATACACCTCCCCTATTGTCACATCATCTTTTTATTTATTTTTTAATGATATGACCCACAAATTACCAATTATACACCCCCCCTATTGTCATATCATATTTTTTCTATGCTTTCATTATTATACAACAATTTTTGTATGACAACAATTTTTGTATGACAACCATTTTCTATGATGCTTTCATATTTTTTCTATGCTTTCATTATTATACACCCCTTTATATTCTATATATAGCCTTCAATATATGAGCTCAAATATGCACACTCCTAAAAATTTCATAAATTTCATATACACATTACGGTTTTATATATATCATTTATTTGAAGATGTCAAGATCCGATGACTTTGTTATTGATAACACGGCAGAATTTACCGTTGAAGAGGTACTTTTGTTAATAATTTTATAAATATATTTTATATTTACAGTAATAGAATTTTTAATATTAAATGACTATGCTAATTTTTTTTT